TCCTCCTCCTCCCCTCTCCTCCTCTTCCTCCTCTTCCAGCTCCTCCATGTATTCGTCTTCATGCTCCCCCTTCTCATCACCATCACTCCTTCTCAATCGCTCTTCCCCCTGTCACATCACCATACGTGTCCGTAGACCAGACCAGGCGTTGCGCTGGAGACGTCTTTGCTAGGTTCTATCCTGACGTTGAAAACCCTACCGCTTACGAGGATGGAGGGCCGGTGGTTTTCCAAGTGCGGCTCTCGCCCTAGTGCAGCGCACATTCGCCCTAACGGACCCCAACCGCTACAGGGATGGAGGCCAGCTGGTTTAGAATGTGACCAGCTCTCGATTGAAACGTCCTCAGCGTGTATGACCTGACGTTCCAAACTGCGAGACAGTTACACGGACATGGCTGGCTCCTTCTGAAGATGGAGCTCTCGCCTGCGATGCCAGCAAATTTTATGAAGAAAACGGTGAACGTGTGCAAAAAAAATGCTCACGACGGTGCTATCCTTAGACATATCCCTGAACTTCGTCTTAGGTCGGGCCTGTCCCCCATACAGGGGGTTTTGGACGAAAACTTGAAAATAGTCCAAAAATTCTCAGAGGATGCCCAAAAATACTCAACAAATAGTCCCCAGACTATGTTTTGCCTATTTTTGAACATCCCCCCTGTAGAGGGACAGGCCCGACGTAAACTCAGTCCTCCCTTCCGCAACAGCGCATCACCCGAGTGGCAGGCCCACTGGGCCCTCGTCATCGAAGGAAGGCGCCTTCCCGCAGTGGAGAGGCATACGAGTAATTAGGCACTCCTGAAAAAAAACAGGGGCTCCCAACTGCGCGCTTCCTTCGCGCTGCGCGAAGCGCCCAACTTCGTGCTTCGCGCTGCGCGAAGCGCGAAGTGCGAACAACTTCGCGCCCTCGCGCCGCCTCCCCGGGGAGAAGGAGAGGGTGAGGAGGAATCGGAGCCGATGACTTCGCGCCCTTGAGGGCGCCCTTGAAAAAGAAGCTTGGAAGAGGACGGTGCTTTTCAGCATCCTTGAGGCAGGCTGGGGTTGCTCTGGACCCACCACATCCTCCTCCCCTTCCTGAGCCTCCTCCTCCTCCTCATACTCTTCCTCCTCCTCCTCCTCCTCCTCCTCCATCTACTTATCCTCCTCCTCCTCCTAATCCTCCTCATCCTCATCCTCATCCTCATCATCAGCATCAGCATCAGCATCAGCAGCAGCATCAGCATCATCATCGTCATCATCATAATCATCATCAGTAGCGTCATCATCAACACCACCACCATCATCAGCAGCACCATCATAATCATCATCATCATCATCATCATCATCATCATCATCATCATCATCATCATCATCAT